TCAGAGATTGAGGACATGATTAAAAATTCACTCTATTAACACTGATGTCACAGAGATTTCTTTTTAAAAATGAGGTATTTGGTTTACTGTCCCAAACAGTAAAGGTTTTGGCAAACTGCAACAACGGCCTAGCAAGTAAAAAAATGAAAGTGAATACATGAAACATGACACAGAAACAGGCCTGGCAGTGCACGGCTGTGTGGCGCCCTGAGAATCTTCATTGTAGCCAAAACGTACCCACCCGCCTCATGTCTAAAAGCAAAACACAGCGTGATCCTTCCTAAGGGCAGACATTCTATTCAGAACAGACAGTGCAAAGAGGAAGTGGGAGAGTATGGAACAGGCAGAGAGAAAGACGGTTCTTACTGTCCCTTCCCCACTCTAACCAGAATCACTTAGGAGTGGATGGCTGTCGCCCTTGTTTTCAAATGATCTTAGGGAGACGTTCAGAACTGTGGCAACAGGAGCATTTCCAAGTGCGTTGCTACGGGACTGTTGTCAAAGTTCAAAATACCACGGAAGACCTTGAGCAGACGGCGGAGTGTTTCACATGAAAAACTGAGCGATCAGGTTGGCCAGGCCCAAAATGATGATGGCAGCGTGGAAGACTAATTTGGGCCACGTCAGACGGTCTTCTTGGCGGAGGGAAATTATGTAGATGAGAGATGGATAGATGAACACAAAGGCCAGGCCGCAGGCTGCTCCCGAATATCTGAAAGAGAAAAGCTTTTCGGGTTAGTAATCATCTTGCATTTTGCTTTTTCTGATTTACAAGTAAAGTAAATACAGTGCGATCTGAACCCTCCTAGCCTGAGCTAATCAAGTGATTTGACCCAGTAGTTGCTGACATAAAGCATTCGAGTTCAAATCATTTCACTTGCTAAGTTAATATAAACTATCATTTTCTGTTCCTCCTGACGGCACCTGCTTGACAAAGAGATTTTTATTCATCTCTCAAATCCGCACAGTTCCTCCAGTCTCTGCGATTGTGGCTACTTCCTCAGAAACATCTGGAGATGGGCTCTCTTTGATCTTTCATAAACTAATTGTGCACTCTAGGGCTTGGAGGATGGCTAGCATCTGCTTAAGAATGAGAACAGATGAGCCCCTTCCTGGCATTCAGCATAAATATCAAAGATATTAACAAGAATATCTAAACCCGAGCCTGTAGGGAGCGGCACTGTCCCCTCAGTGTTCCTGAGGGCGGCTCACTGGGGCCTCTAAGTCCACTCTGCTGCCCGCTGCTCTCTCAGGCAAGGGTCTTCAGAAACAGCGAGTCACCCCTGTTTTCTGTGAGTTGGGGAGACAAGGTCACTCTGAACCCCAGTATCCATGAGAATCTGAGGTCACCACGATTCCCAATCTACTCAGTTTTTCTTAAATGTCACAATGTTTTTGGAAAAATAATATTAAGGGAAGAGCCCGCTGGGATCTAAACTCTTCCTCTCTGCCTAGAGCTGACGCTGAGCCACGCTCGTGAGTAGAAACAGACTAAGGAGGTAGGCACGGCCGTGACGCGTAAGAGCCTCCCAGGCGCCCCAAGACGTCAGAGATTATTAAACATAACTTTCTATTTTGGAGAAAGGAATATAGTAGAACATAATGAGAAAAAGAAAAAAAGAGAGGAATAGGTGCCCAGCGCTAAGGGGTGATGGCGCGGAAAGCAAGAACATGCGCACGTGGCCGCACCAGGGAGCCGCCTCTGCCTGCTACTAGTTGTTTTTTAAAAAATGTTTTTACTGGTTTCAGAGAAAAAGGGAGAGGGAGAGAGAGAAACATCAATGATGAGACACGGCCCCTGCTGGGGCTCGAGCCCAAAACCCGGGCCTGTGCCCTGATGCGGAATCGAACCCTGACCTCCTGGTTCATGGGTTGATGCTCAACTGCTGAGCCACTCTGGCCAGGCCTGTTACCAGTTTTAAAACCTGAAATTTCATACAGTTAAAGTAAAACAAAAGAAATAGCATAAAGACAGAGACTGCCACGCGGACGGACGGGCACAGTCCTCCCAGCAGTACCTGATGATCCCGCCTATGTTCGGGTACACGCAGGCCATCGTCACGCCGGCCCCCACAATGACCAGGTTCAGAACCAGCACGTGGAAAACGCTAGACGTTGACAAAATGGTTTGGAAGAAGAAAAAAAATACAGGCAAATTATAACCATTAATATGAGAATATGATTCACTATTCTTTAAAATCAGAATGTCTTAAATGTGACAATAAAATCCCAGCAGAGTCAGAATAGCAGCCAATGCTGGCGATGGGCCCTCGCCCTCTGTGCTCAGGTAAGCAGGTAAAGCTGCTCTTTAGGCCAACGGGTCACAGGGATCAGAGTTCACACTCCCTGATCCGTAATGCCACTCGGAATACCTTAAGAAAATAGTCAAATCAAGAAAAAAGCTATTACCATAGAGATATCTATAAAAAACAGAAGTATCCTAGATATACAGCAAGGTAACAATTCACTTGCTGGAATTATTAAAAGTTATTAAAAATAGTTATTGTTACCTAGATGGCAAAAACTCCTTTGGGCATCGCAGGAAACAGCTAGTTAGACTTTTTGCTGCGCAAGAACATCTGACAACCTTGAAAAACTGTCAGAAAGAAATACTCTGAAAAGACACTGGTGGCTGTGTTAAGATTTGGAATTTGGGGTGATTTTTTTCTGTTTTCTATATTTAACAAATTTTCTATATTTTAGAATTTTTTAAGGTGTTTATTTTACTTTTATAATTAGATAAATTAAGGAAAAGGCAAAAAGGGCAGGTTTTTATTTTTCAGATCAAGCCACTTGAGGCTACTCAGCATTTACCATGAATAGAACAGCTACTAACTACGTGAACTAGAATAATTCAAGGTCTGGGAATCAATTTGGACACAAATAAAAATAATGCAGATGAAATCTGAGGCTCAAAAAATAACTCTGCTTCCCTAAAACATGATTCTTAAAAGCCAAATTGAAACATAAAAGCAACTCTTGAGTCCAAGTTATCAGAGGTTAATCAATCCCAGATAAAGATCACAAAGAGAATTAAAAATAAGAAAATTATTTATACAAATAAGTGTTTAGTCATACACCCTGATGAATTACAGAGATACTCAGGCTTCCAGAACTTACTATTTATCCAGAAACTCCAACCTTAAAGTCGGTCCAGAGTGTGGAGACACTGGGGCCTTTGTCACTTCTGTATTGTTAAAGGAAACAACTTCGTGTGTTTTCCAAAGTGGCGGTTCTCAAAGTGCAACCACAGACTCCGGGGAGGCTCCCAATACCCTTCCAGGAAGTCCCCGAGGTGAAAATTATTTTTATAATCATGCAAGACATGACTTGCTTTGCAAAAGCAACAGTGGGTAAAAGTGTAGCCCGGTGGCATGGACAGAGGCATAGCACCTGTGCGTTTTCTACTGGGCTCTCCAGTGCCAGACACTCTCAACAAAAGGTTGTATTACAACCGTCCTTGACAAAGGAGTTGATGTTATTGGTTGCATTACAACTCATGCACGGAACACATCTTTTTCTTTCTGTGAGGTCCAACAGGAAGGACACTGTGAGGCACCCACTGTGGACACAAGGTCAAGGGCTGTCCTAAGGAAAGGACCTGCAGTTCAGCCAGGGGGACAACCCAGGCCTTTCCCCCAAACACTATTTTACTGACAGGCAAACAGACCACGGATCTTCAGACTTAGGTATCTGACAGGCATTTTCTTGAAAATGAATGATATTTGTCATTTCAAGGAAAACAACTGGTAGTATGTGTTCACAATGATCAAAATGGAGCTTTCAAGAAAAATGAGGATTCTGGAGAGCTTGAAATTGCCACCCGAGCTTGACAGTTTCCCGATATTTAGAGACTTTGTAATGAAATTGATGGTGACATTAAGGATTGTGTGTTTGGACACCGTCTAATGAAGTGTGTCAGCATTTGGAGGAGCCTCAGGGCTCAGTGGACCAGTATGTTCCAAATAACTGAAGACGCTGTTACAAAGTCACGCACAGGTCAAAAATCCACAGTGCAGGGCAGACCAGCGGGCTTCAATGTAACTGAGTTTCAGTTACAAAGTCACGCACAGGTCAAAAATCCACAGTGCAGGGCAGACCAGCCGGCTTCAATGCAACTGAGTTTCAGATCCAACTGTTTTTTAAGGAACTACCACTTGACAAGGTTTGGCAGAATATCAAAGAAGACTACACACAGTTCTCTGAAAAGGCCACTGAAAGTGCTCCTTCTTCTCCAACTCTGTGTCTATGTGTCATATTTTCTTCATATATTAAATGAAAACAACATATTACAACAGTTTGAACTCAGAAGATAAAAGAATCCAATTATCATAAATCACACATTAAAGAGTTTGGAAAATATAAAACAGAAGTTATTTTGGAAATAGTTATTGTGCATAAACATGTTACTTACGTTAACAAGTAATGGTTTTATTATTGATTTTTAAAGAAACTAATATTTTTTAAATTCTTGGTTTTAATCTTTTAGGTGTTAAATATTGATAGATATAAACTAAAGTTCTTGGAGGTCCTCCATACACTTTAAGAGTGTAAAGGGGTCCCAAGATAAAGGAGTATGCTCCAAAGTTGCCGTCTGCAAAAGACTTGTAGCCGTGGGGTGAATAACAGTGTGGTGTTGGTGGTCAGGGAAGAAATGCAATGTGAGCACAAGGGAAATTCCAGACTGTTTCCAAGAAGAAAAAACGTTCTGACAGCCAACATTATGCAAAATAATGGCAGAAAACAGGAATAACACAGTTACCTAGACTTTTTCATCTGTGACTTCACTGTATTTATTTTACTTTGGTGAAGGTAACTAAGCAGGGTATAAACACAACCAGTATCTTGTATTTTCTGAAATCCAATCTCCTAGACGAGCAACGTGAGAACTGCAGCTGCTGCCACAGTAAATGCTACGGGCCTGGTAACTCTTGGATTTTGCTTTTAAAAGTTTATGGATTTTAAACCAACACATTTATAACCAATTATGTGTTTAATGGAGGACAGGCTGTATCCGTTTGCTTCAAAGGAGAACTGATCAAGACCATTTGTTTGTTGCTTACCGTAAATGTAATTTGTTGCTCAAATGTTATCCACAGGGTTAGGACTGGGGACTTTTTACTAGAATGGATTTATAATGAAACTGAATGTGAGAGCAGGAGTTAGCCAGGGGTCCACAAGGGAGTTTTGGGAACCTTGAAGCAGCCTATGGAAATTTCTCTTGGATGAGGGTGACCAGTTGTGAGCACATTTTCACAGGGACTCTCAACTCCTCCATCACCAATGAGAGACTGAAAATGACAGCAGTAGTTACAGATACAAAGAATTTAAATTTATGTATCTCACCTTCAATTATCAACTATCATTTACGTAAAAATGCATGAATGTTAATAAACATACAAGTAAACATAAAAAACCAATCATTCAAATAAAAGAGTTGCTTCTCCTTAGCTAATGCAGGTTCTATATATTATTAGCTTCTGGGAAATGAGGAGACTAATAGCGACTAAATCATAAGATAACTATAATGGGCATCAGACCTAAGATAACTACCCTGGAGGGAATGAACTGCAGATAATTCTGGACAAGGGAGTGCCTTCTATTTTTAAAGCTCTTCAGGGAAAGGAATAGCAATGATCTATCCTTAGTGACATTGTCATTAGGCAAACTTCTGCAGCAAAAGGACAGGTCACATTTCCCACTGCCCTGTATGCACAGTCGCAGTTGCCCGGCACCTCCTGCCAGTTGGGAGATGAGCCCTCACCTGGGATAAGGGTCCCCAAAGACATGGCCCAGCAGCTGGACCCGGGCTAGGTAGCCCAGGAGCGGGTACACGGTCACCATTTGAAACAGCAGGAAAATCCGCGCAATGAAGGACAGGATGTCACTGCTGGGGAAGTTGTCCAAAAAGTTCTAGTTCAAGAAAGAGGATAGAGTCATGTTAAAAGTCAAATTCAATGTGTACACATTTATAAAACGTAGTGTCTCTGCTGATTGTGAACACAGGTGCCATGCAAGCTGAGGTCTGTGGACTGGGGCCTGTCCACGGACTGCTTAACTATTCTTCAGTGCGCTGAGGTCAGAAATTGAAAGTGGCCCTGGCCAGTGTGGCTCAGCTGGCTGAGCACTGTCCTGTGTACCAAAAGGTACCCAGTTCAATTCCCGGTTGGGGCACAGGCCTGGGTTGCAGGCTTGATCCCAGTAGGGGGCGGGGCGTGCAGGAGGCAGCCGATCGATGTTTCTCTCACATGGATGTTTCTCTCTCTCTCTCCCTCATTCAAAATCAATAAGAACACATTTTAAAAAAACAGATGGATGCTCTCACTTATATGTGGAATCTAAAGAACTTAATAAACTGATGAGCAGAATAGATTCAATGACATGGAAGCACGGATCAGACTGATGAATCTCGGGGATGGAGGAGGGCGGGTGGGTGGAGGGCGAGAGAGTAACCAAAGAACTTATATGCACATATGCACAACCCAAGGACACGGACAATGGTGGGGAGAGGGACTAGGGAGGGGTGGGACGGGGTGGAGCGGGTCATTGGGGAGAAAAAGGAGCATCTGTAATATTTTAAACAAAACTTTAAAAAAAAAAAAGAGATGGATCGTGTTCAGAAACTTTTATAGAAACATGACACAGCCATATTCTTGTTCTACTTTGCACACGTGTCAGCCTGCAACTGATTTGACATCGAGATGATTAAGAAAACCTTGCCCTTCCCCACAGAGTTGAGATGCGGTGCTCTGTAAGGTTCGAGAGTCATCTGAATATATTTAAATAGCCAGTTTAACCGAATGCCATTCTGCCCTCGCCGCTCTAGGCACTGGGGCACTTTCAGAGTCCAGAGCAGAGTGACGTGTGCATGTCTGTCCCCCAGTATCAGCTATTGACTGTCTATCACTAAACAGAAAGAACTTATTTCTATGTCCTTTCATGACTTTTCTCCATTTTAGTTTGGCATCTAAAAGAAAGCAGTTAATCCCTCTTGTTTCCCTCTTTCAAATAAAATACCACAGATATTCCTATTCCCGAAGGAGTGGGCTTTACACGGGATTGTCACGTCAGGGGATTTTCAGCAGACATCTGGCTGCCAAAGACCTTCTGGAATCAAGGAAACCACGAGAACATTTCCAGCTATCGTACAGCAGTAACTCGCACCTATTTCTCTCATGAAGATGAGGCATTATTAACACGAATATGCTGAAATAACCTTCATAACTCATCTGTAATACATCACACTGTACCTTCCACTGCACTCTCCCTGAAATTTCTTTCTGACCAGAAATAAAGTCACTGGTGAAATGTTATTTTTTTGTGAGAAATCCTGCAGTCCCATCAAACTACAGATTATACTATGCCTAAGTTAATGGTGGGTCAAATCCAAGAAAATAATGCTTATGGCAACCTTTTAGTAAAATAATGTTCTTTTAGTCTCTCTGCCTTTTTCGCTGCCTGCCATCCACGCAGTACCAGCGTGGACGTCAGCCCTGCCCTCAGCAGGAACTGTGGGACTAGGAGCCGGTTGACTCAGGACATCTTTAGCTCTGGGCTTTGGAATGTAAGGGAGTTGAATGTATTCTCTGTGGAGGTTTGTAAATCCATGATCACTACTAGCAACACTTCTCCACATGGGAGGAATATGTGCAGATAACAGGAATCACTTATTAGGGTATCAAGGTGAGAGCATGGGGCAGGTTTCCTCAGAGGCCACCTAAACACCTAGGGCGTATGTGTCGTGCTATTTAATGGAAGGGGAAACAGGTCAGAAGGATGGGGAAGGTGCCTGAATTCCCCAAGTCGAGTGTGTGGTAGAGACAGAGTTCTTGCTACGGTGTCACTTGTCTGCTGTGCAGGTGTGAAGGTGGAACAATCCCGCAGTGCTTACCTGTTCTATACAATCCTTGGATAAAGGCGGTGAAGGAAATGAAGCGAAAACCAGGACCCCGATATAGAGATAGGTCGATGCCACCAGCATGTAGGCGATGGACAAGTCCCTCATCTGCGGAGAGAGAGCACCGTCCTCACAACACTGACGCTACTGCAGTAAGTGCGTCTAAATAAGTAAACAGACCGAGGGTGGGGAGCGTCCGGCCCTCCGGCAGTATACGGCCTGGGAAATCACTGGGGCTGCCCTGCCAAGGCGACCTCAGGCAGGACTCGGAATTCAATAAACCTAGGAACTTTTGTCATAGCTAATTTTTAAGCTGATCATTTTGTATGGCCCGCAAATGATGTTATAAATATCCAAATGGCTCTTCACAGGAAAAAGGTTCCCCACCCCTGAAATAGACAAATGTGAGATTTACCTTTTGCTGTGTGTACATGTACCTATTAGAGTCCCATCTGTCTACAGAAAGTAATTAAAACAAAATTCACATACTTGACAGTCTGACAATTTTTTTACTGTTCTGGAGTATGCATACTTAGCTACTTATTGGCAGACAGGAAAACATAAATGGTGGTTTAATATCATAGAAATTCTGGCTTAATTTCAAAAAGTACTTTATTTACCAAATTATAAAATATTTAACTAAATAATAAAGTGAAGGGACAACAGGAAAGCAAGAACAAGCCACCTTCAGTATGACGGACAGAATTAAATTGTTTTCCTTTAGTAAATTAACTTAAGTCTTCAAAGCATGCGTAGGCCAAAGGAAACCGGTACATAATAAAGCATATTAAATACAGAAGGGAAGCTGGTTAAAGAACAGGCAGTGGGGAGGCCCTGAAGACAAGCTTCACCCACAGCAAACAACGGGAATGACCAGGCAGCTGTTCAAACGGCTGCACGGGAGCACTGGGGTTGGTAAACAAACGCAGAGCGTGCGTGGGTCCCGCCCTCGGGCCTCCTGCTCCCACGCAGCGAGAAGCTCCCAGGTATTTCAGGCGGCCAGCTGAAGGGCCCACACAGCGCAGAGCCCGCGCTCACAGGCCTGGTCTCCACCACCACCAAAGCTACGGCCAAACAACTAACTCAGCGCAACTCAGCCATGGCAACAAGCCTGCCCATTTTTCATTTTAAACACAAATTGCTTTGAAAGCTAAGAAAACAAATAAGAAAAAATTATATACAGTTTAGTTTGATAACAATAAGAAAACTGGACATTTGTTATTAGGGAACATTTCTGAGTTTTGGACAATTTTCCTCCTTAAATGGCTTAAAAAAACAGCAGAGAGTTATAACTGTGACTGTTGATAAATTCACTTAAAAAGCAAGTGACCAGCTATGAGAAACCCTAAAGTTGGGTCTAAGATAATAACCAGCCTGGACACAAATCAGGGATCCCTCCCCTGACTTAGAGGATAGCCTGGCCTGTGGAGCCCCAGGAACCTGGACCGTGCACAGCGGTTCCATTTCTCAAAGGGCTTCTAACTATTCAGGGTGGAGGAAGGAGAGGCTGCCCAAACCTCGGGGAGCGGGGGTGTTCAAAGCTTCCCCTTTTAGTCTATGAAGCTCTAGCGCTCATCTCATGCCTGACTTCAGTCACCCCTAAAGCTGCTCATGGGCTTATGTGGGATGAACAGAAACGAACCAGGCAACTCTTACGTCCCTATCACAGGGTAGTAGCCGCTGATTACATTCTTTCAAAGTCATTCTTCCCTCCACCAGTAAGTGCCACTGAGAACAAGGCAGCCTGTAAAATGCAAAACCCTGCGGGCCAAACGGCTGTGTTGGAGAGACCTATACAGGGGCAGCTACCATTCCACGGACAGTCCTTAGCCTATATACCCCCAGTCACTGCATTATGTTGGTCAGGCTTCCTGCAAAGATGGGCACCTTGGCATACAGCCTCTCAAAAGCTACTTAATGAAAAATGGTAGAAAAAGCTATCTTAAAATTAGGCTCCAAGTAAAAAATGCATTTATTTATTATTATTTTTTAAAATATATCTTTATTGATTTCAGAGAGAGGAAAGGAGAGGGAGAGAGAGAGAGAAAAAAACATCAATGATGAGAGAGTCATCGATCGGCTGCCTCCCGCACGCCCCAGACTGGGGATTGAGCCCGTAACCTGGGCATGTTCCCAAACAGGGAATCGAACCCCAATCGCCTGGATCCTAGGTTGACGCTCAACCTCTGAGCCACGCCTGGCTGAGCTAAAAAATGCATTTAAAAAGAGGCACCAGTGACCATCTGAACTGTGATGTGTCGAGTCCCAGACATGGAGAATGTCCATCCTCTGGGTCCTGCATGGGGCTGGCAGGGCTGGTCGCAGAGAAAGCGACAGGAGGGATTCAACCAGAACCAACAGCACAATGGTCTGGGCACGTTCTGCTGCTCAAATATGGTTTCTAGCATGTCCTACACTCTGTCCATAGCAAAAACCCCTCTAACAACGATGACAGAAACTGACCACACAGGACTACCCCAAACATTTACACAAAAACGCCTGCTGATGTGGTTATGTAAATACAGATTCATATCCAGAAGCAGAAAGTAAACTAAGATATGAAGCATTTCAACTTGTTTTTAAAGAACTAAGCAGGGTATAAAACTAAGTGAAGATGCAAAACAAAGGAGGCACTGCGAAGTTTCTGATTCATTCCTCACTTGCCAGACACACATTTCTACTTCAGTTTCAGAGTGAACACGGCCGTCCGCTGCATGGTGCATGGGAAGGGGAGTGCTGGGACACCTCTGAGGAACAGGGTCGCAGGGCAGGAGCTCAGGGTTTTGGGCTCTGCCCCGCCGCCGGCTGTCTGTCCTCACTAGGAACCAGCCAAAGCATGAAATCCCTGCAGAAGGGGTGTGTGACTTGACCAGACACAAAGGAGACGGATCTCAACTTGGCCCCCAAGGTGAAGGAACCAGTACAGATGCCCGCTAGTCTCCAAGAGTAGCTCAGAACATCTCCTCGTGCTGACGGTCCTGAGGCTCAGAGTTTATGATTAAAACTCTGAGGGGACAGTATCAAATAATACTAGTATTTCATAGGAAGAAAACGAGATTTGAAGGTCACCAAGTTAGGAAATTTGGAAAATCCAGATTTACTTAATTCCAACTCCAGTCACAGGTAATACGCCATCTGTATGTTACCAGGTAATAGAAAGGATGAAAACCGATGAGCTTGACCTACATTCTTGCCCTAATTTGAGAGCTAACTTCCTTCCACTTAGAAAGATTTTTGCCTTCTGAATAATTGTCCAACTCTACCCGAAGCCTTCTCAAAGTCCTGAGGCACAGTGAGCACTTCCCTCCTTTGTATCCCAGTGACAACTGTGTAGATCTCTCTTAGAGCTCCGTGATTTTTGTTTACATGGTTAGAAGCCATCAAACTGAGTTCAGAATTTGCAGACAAGGCCACTTCTGCTTGCTTTGGGTTTAGTTTGCTCTTCCTTTTCCAGTGTCTTAAGGTAGGAGGTTAGGTTATTGATTTAAGATCTCTTCTCTTTTTTGATGCAGGTGTCTACAGCTATAAATTTCCCTCTAAGCACTGCTTTAGCTGCATCCTATAAGTTCTGGTATGTTTTGTCTTCATTTTCAGTAATCTTAAAGGATTTTCTATTTTATTCTTGTAATTTCTTCTTTGACCCATTGGTTATTTAAGAATATGTTGTTTAATTTCCACATATTTGTCAATTTCCCAAATTTCTTGCTGTTACAGATGTCTAACTTCACAGTGGTCAAAGAAATACTTGGTATGATTTCAATCCTTTTAAATTTATTGAGACTTGTTCACTACATGACCTGTCTTGGTAAAGGCCCATGGACATTTGAAATGAATGTCCATCCTACTGTTGTTTGAGAGATTTTTATAAATGCCAATCAGATCAAGTAGGTAGATCATGTTTTTTATGTTTTCTATATCCTGACTCATTTTATATTTGTCCCATCAGTTATTACGGGAGGGCTCCTGAAATCTCCTATTGTAACTATGGATTTCTCTACTTTTCTTTTCGGTTTTGACAGCTGCTGCTTCATTATTTGGAAGCTCTGTTATTTGGTGCATGTGTATTTAGGATTATTAGTCTTCTTAATGAATCAATCCCAATCCCTAAGGATAATAAGGTCATGTCCCTCTATATTTTGGCAATACTCCTCATTTTAAAGTTTACCTTGATATTAAAACAGCCACTCTACCTTTCTTATGCTTAGTGTCTTTACAGTGCATCTTTACATTTAAAGTAAGTTCCTTATAGACAGCATATTGTTAGGTTTCATTTTTTAAATCAGTCTGATAATCCCTATCTTTTAATGGCAGTATTTAGACTACTTTTATTTAATGCAATTATCAGTATTATTGGGTTTAAATCTATTATCTTGCTGTGTGTTTTTTATTTGTCCCATCTAGTCTTTGTTTCCATTTTCCTGTCTTTTAGATCACTTGGGTATTTTTAAAGATTTTGTCACCATTATTGGCATTAGCTAGGCCTCTTTATTTTTTAGTGATTGCTCAAGCAGGAGTTGGCAAACTATGGCCCATGGGTGAAATCTGGCCAAGTATTTGTTTTGGTAAATAAAGTTTTCTTGAAACACAGCCACCACCATGTGTTTACATATTGTTTATGGCTACTTAATACAACAGCAGGCCTGGGTAGTGATAACAAAGATTACACATCCCACAAGGCCTGAAATATGTACCATCTGAACCCTTACAGAAAAAGTTGGCTGACCATTGCTCTATGGTTTACAGTTAACAATTAAGATCCTGTAACAAAATCAGTTCCTCAGAGAATGACTCACATTGTTTTCCTGGCTCTTGTTGTTCTTCAGAAGTGTGATAACACAGTTATGAATGAAGAAAGCCAGGGTGAGCACTCCAGTCAGCTGCGGAAACTGAAATCTTATCTCTAGGAGAAGAGAGGGGGGAAAAAACACATTAAAACTGACAACTAGAAAATGAATATAAGTTGCCAAAAGTTGATTTACTAAAAACCAGTTGTCTCTGTTCATCCAGGGAGGAAAAAATTAAAGCCTCTTTACCCAGTTCCCCCTGGCTTACGTTCTACTTGAGCAAAGTACTTGAAGAGGGAAAGGAAAGGACTCGAGAAATGACTCCTCTGGAGGGAGGTCACACCGGTCACTCCTGTCTGAGGCCACCTGACCAGCACCTGGCAGAGCAGATTCAAACCAGGGTCTGCGTGGGCCTCAGTTCCTCCTCTCCTAATACTTTCATTTGCCAGAAAAATACTTTTAGGAAAGGAATCATGGAAGGGAGAACTGGTCACTTAACATTCTTAAATGGCTAATCGAGAAAACACCGTTTAAAAACACTGGAAGTAACTTAAATGTCTACATAGAGGGGAATGGCTAAACTACAAGTTGCTCAGTGATATGCAGATGTGAGGATTAATGTTTTCTAGAGAAAGGTTTTATGTTATGGCAACTGTTCATGATTCAAATAGCATGTATAGCATGATTTTACTTTTATTTTAAAAAGAGTGTGTGTTTGTGTGTGTGTGTGCGCGCGCACACGCGCAGAGAGAAGACTGGAGGAATATTTAAAAGTGTATCTAGTGGTTACCTCTGGCTAATGGGATTTATTTTAAATTAATCACTTACCTATGTTCTCTAAATTTTCTGCAACAAACACAAAGCTACTTTGAAATGAGAACAGTAGAGAGGACATCACCTCGATGTCAGCATTATACTTTATACTTTATAATTACAATAGAGGCACCGACTTGGGAAAGAGAGTACAGTTATTATTTACACATGACATTATCTGCAGATACTCTTTTTGGAGAAACGGTTCAAAACCTCTTTAATGAGAATTCAGAGTCATCCAATCACAAAGGAAGACAGGAATTACAAGACCACCAGAACTCAGTGCACAAAACGGCAACGGTAAGTCCAAACCTATCAATAATCAGTTTAAATGTAAACAGACAAATTCTCCAAACAAAAGACACGGAGTGGCCAGATGCATAAAAAACATGACCCGGCTAGACGCTGCCCACGAGGGACTTGCTGCAGCTTCAGCGCCCACGGAGAAGAGTGAAGGGTGAGGGAGAGGTTCCGGGCAAGCCCACGACACGCTCCGCAAACTGCAGACCACAGAGCCCACCACGTGGTCTGAGAGGAGCCCAGCCTCCAGTCCTTTTCAAGCCGCTACTTTACTCCTTGGAATAAATGTGCACTAATCATTACAATTAAATGTATTAGAAGACTTCTAATGAAAACCAGGGCTCTCTTGCTTCCTAACCCCCCTCCTGAACCCTGTTTCTCAGAGGCAATTAATTCTAACTCTTCTAACTACTGAGCGCATTTTAAATATGCTCCCCTTTTCACCTCTAAATAACTATTTATACTGTCGCTTAAATTTATCTCCCATGTCCTATCATTAGCAGAAACTTTTATCACTGAGGCTCTTAAAATAAATCAGTACGGCTCTAATTTTGGAGACTGATGCCCTGGACTATTCTCAGCCACTGGAGAGCCAGCGCACAGCTGCCCTTCCATGAGCACAGGCTGGGAATGCCCCGGGAGGGAAAGAGGCCTCTAGCCCAGTTCCTCCTCTATCCCGAGTTACACTGCCTGCAGTCTTTGTAGGCTTCTAAGAGAAACAAAAAAATCAAAGCCAATGCAGCCAGACCCTGTGAAAACCAGAAACCATGGTAACACAAGCAACAACTTCCAGTGACCTCCACCTCAGCCCCCCGAAACCCAGGGACGCCGTCGCAGCAGGATCGAAGAGGGCAGACGGCTGTCCTGCAGCCCTTGGAGTCACACCCGACACCGAGCAGGGAACTGGCGCTCTGGGTGCCCGGGGCGGCCGCCGAAGGAAGGCAGCAGCCCCTCTGCACCGAGAGCCGGATCTTAGACCACCGTCTCCTTCCAGACGCTCGTGCAACAGTCGCCTCCTGACCTGTCTGCTCACTCGGCAGTAGCCGTTCATGGCCTCACGGGGCTTCTGTCAGGTCCAAATCCTCTAAATCTGGGTGCAACTTAAGAAATTGCCAAGTTGTAACCACGAGGAAAAAAGGAGAGGGAACACTTAATAATCCCCCTCAGCCTGAGGAGCAGGGGTATTAAAACCCCTCCACGGGAGCAGCGGTGTTGACGAGCAGCAATCCACGTGCTAGTCACGGGCCCCGTTCTAAGGCTCTGAAGTCCAGGGGTATGTTTTCTCAGGAAGTCTAGACAGTGCAACCCTGATCTTCCGGTTGTATTGGAACTTGAATGAACTTCACTCCCAAGAGGGGTGACAAAGGGCCAAGGTTACCCCCCAACTGTGTGAAAAGCAGAGTAATTTCAACCGGACTCTTCTCTTTTTAAAATCCTCACCAGAGGACATGCTTATTGATTTTAGAGGGAGGGAGGGAGAGAAACTGATGTGAGAGAGAAACATCAATTGGCTGCCTTCTTGTATGAGCACCAATGGGGACTGAACCCGCAACACAGGCCTGTGCCCTGACTGAGGATCCAACCCGCAGCCGCGTGGTGCAGGCCGACCCTCTAACCAGCTGAGCGCCCAGCCAGGGCTCCACTGGATTGTTTTCAGCCTAACAGCATCAATAGAAATGCTCATTGTAAACAAGACCATTACTTGTTTCAGAACAGCAACAGTCAAAAGTAATTAACTTAAAGACCACATTATTGTAATTTGTTAATTCTTTATTTTAAAACAGCTCACCTGGTACAAAAAACTCTGTTGGCGTAAACCAATGAAATTCCAGATGAATTCCCAAGCGAACTGCCTTCAAGGTGACAAGGAAAATCAAGTAGGCAACGGACACTGTGCCTGTGAGGAAACATTCGGAAACCGTGCGTCATCTTCTAACGTTTACAGACCATGTAAAATCCAGCCTTGCTTCTATGTTCTCAGCGAAGACGGAATCGTTTTACCTTAATTGGTTACACCCACTAAACCCAGCTGGGATCTAAGGCACGGAAACAAGCTTTGTGAGTTATCAGAAAAAAAGCAAAAACTATGCAGGAGGCCTAAGAAGAGCCAGGTGAAGGCAGCTCATCTATCGCTGGAGGCAAACTGCCCAGCGTACTCCAAACAGGACACACGGTGCCCGTTACAAAGCTGCCGGTTACACTGGGAAAACAGACAACAGAAAACTGACTCTGTATTAGAAGAAGGATTAGAACGGTCAACGGGCTGGGAAAGCCCGTGAAGCAGCGAATGTGGGTCATGCACCTGCTTGGGGAAGGTGACAAGCAAACCACCCGCAGCAATCTGACTCCGGGTCTGGGAGGTTTGGACGGAGCAGCGCCGCTTGCCGGTGGAGTCACCAGGTTCCACTCGCGGGCGTTAGACACGGGGTGGGGCCTTCAGAAGGTTTCAGTCGGGGAGCCAGAGGCTGATTCCCGTGAAGGAATTAAACCCAGTCATTATGGGGGTTAGTCCAGGAAGGTTTCTAGAGGAATTAGATGCTAAAAAAGCTATAGATTTAAAGGGAAAGAACCAAGACAAGGGCAGAGGCAGACTATCCTTAAGGGGGAAGAAAATAATCAGCTCGGTTGGAAGTCTGGTGATTGTTTTGCCCAACTGAGCAAATTCTCTCTAAGCTCACACGTTACCTTTCAAAGACCTGGCCCATCGGGAAGTTGGCAAGGAGTCAGGAGCCCACCAACGGGCGCCTTGTGCTGGGCTGTGGGCCAGAGATCAGCTGGTCCAGGAAGAACAAAAATAAGAGGCCAGAGCTCTTACGGCCCCAGCTGTTCATTTTCTGTCTGGGGCAGGCAGTGTGTCCGTCTGTGAAGCCCAGAGGTGTAGACAGACAACCTTCCCGCATTCCTGTTTGCTGGAATCCCAAAGGCCACCTCCTCGGCGTGATGTGCCAGCACATCAGACCTACGGGGAGGTGAATCCTACACTCTAGTTGGGGTTTCAGTTCCTTATGAATGACACCCTTGTCTTTAGTGAACCAGATCTGAGCTGTCACCGGGGACTCCTCTGCCATCTTACGGCTGTACGAGAAGACACGGTCACACTATTGCTTCCGTGATAATTTGGGAAATTTGTGAGACAGGGCTCGCAGAAGGAAGTCTGCTCCTCTGAGGAGGCAAATGTGTCCCAAGAAAGAAAAAGCACCGAGGAAGAGCTGAAGCAGTACACACCTCAGGACTGTGAGCCCGAGAATGGCATACCGGTTGAAAGCCAGGTGACAGATAAAAACGACCAAAACGAGTCAGGTGACGATTCTGCGCTATACTTTTAAGTAGAAACTGTAGGGATGAACACCCCCTAACCTCCCTCAGTAAGTTCTAACGTCTTGGGGGCTCAGGATCCCTTAACGCCCACCTTGGGTCTCTGCCCTGACATCTCGACTGCTTCCACCACGACTCAGGTGCAGCAGGGGCTGCTCGGCCACAGCCAGGGGGAGAGCCAGGACTTGTCTTCCAACAGGCCTGGGTTTGAAATGGTCATGCCCACTTTTCTCTGTGACAAACTCCATAAAGAACGCCCCAAAGCAAGGTCACGCGGGAGTGGACACATTAAGCAGAGAGAAACGGGCCGGGAGGCAGCCCTCTGCCCGGCCGGGTGCCTTTCCACTCGGCTCACCTAGGATGTTAAACTTGGAGAAGAAAGATGGTGACTTGAAATTGAGCAGCGGCAGGAGGAGGCCAATGAGGTACAAGGGCACCGTCCTGGACTTGCTCCACCACTTCTCAAGCTGCTGCAGCTCCGTGTCGTTGCCGTAGAAGATCGCAGAGCCGTTGTCCAGGCGGCCACTCCCTGCACCTGGACAGGTCACTGCAACGGGAAAGCGTCTGGTCAAGGAGGCGTGCACGGGACAGAAACGATGGCCGGGGCACACGTCTGCTCCCCCAGCCTCAGCCTTTACCATGAACACTCAGTTTCTCCTTTCTGGAAAAAACAGAGGCTTACATTTATATATATTAGAAATCTCTCACCTCGAAGTAATTAAAGGGGGAACAATGTTAGAAAAAAGTGGAGGTACATCCTTAATTTCTACCAGAAACTAGAATGGTCTCTCATCCAAAACCCTTTGGTTCCATGGCCAGAGGGAAAATATTGGGCTGATGGCAGTCGATCCCATGTAAACAGTAACATAAGAGGTCATTCAGGGTGGCCGTGCGCTGAGAGAACAGCCCATACCAAGGCCAAAGAACAGGCTTCTTCTACCAATAAACAAAATCTATGGTTTTGGAATAAAAAGCGGACATCGTTGAAACAGCTGTCTGGTAAAACCTAACTATTGGTTACAGCGTAAGAATCCTGAAATCCAGCAACCCAGGGCAATCCTCCTGGAAGTCCGTCACATTTTACGGCGCCCAGGAGCCCCGATGTTATCCCGAGAGCCGGGAAGTGAGGTCTATTTTCCTAACACTGACTACGCGCGGCCATTTCTTCTGTTAGCAGAGAGAATACAAACCCTTCTCACTGCTTCTGGTTTCACAGCAGCGCTTTTGCTGATAACCAGCTCTTTGCACAGAACTCTCAGTGCTGGTGGGAAACACACCCTGAGCACCATCACACTCGGCACCAGGCAAAGCAGAGGTGACAGGCTCATGGCGAGTCCTGTTTTTAATTGTTGTCTCCATTGTTGGGCCTGCCCCACAGCCAGCACCTCATTTTCCGTCTCCGCCTTTCCTAGTATTTTAACATGTACATTTTTCTTCTATGCTCTGGACAGAAGTAAATTTACCTGAATTTTTCTTGTGCTAGTAATTACAGTGCTAAAGGGCACAGGCCCTGAGAGTAAGCTGACTGAGAAATGAATCTGGACGCTGTCACTATATTAACGGTTACGTAACCCTGGGCAAGCTGCTAGCTTCCCTTTGCCTTGGTTTCACATCAGGAAAGTGAAGAGAACAGCATCTACCTTCTAGGGCTGCGGGAGAAATTTAGAGCGATGCCCGCACAGAGCAAGTACCCAATAAACGCCAGCTGGAATCTTTTCCATTGACTGAGACGGACTGTTTCACACTCTCACTACTTAACGTGTTGTTCAAAATAAATGGAAGAATTGAAAGTGCTAGTGTCAACATAAGCTATTACTATGCAAAGCAAGCTGCCCTTGCTGGCTCTCCAACCATCGCTGTAACTGTGATATCATGAGCTCAACCAGGAACGGGCTTCCTGCTGAAGGAATCCTATTAGATATTAATAAACTACTTCCATCCATTGATATCGGAGCAGCTACAGTAAAATGAATTTCTCTTTTAAGACAAGGATGTTATTTGGTCCTTTGAAAATTCTGACATAAGGGATAGAATGCAAGAGATATATTTTAAAATTATACTCAAATGTTTTAGTATAATTATTCAAAGGTGTGTGTGTGACTTTGTGTGTCTGTTTGGATTATGTCTGTGTGTGGTTGTGTGCATGGTTGTGCGTGTGATTGTGATTGTGTGTGTCCCTCCACAAAAATAAAAGCTAGTACTTCACTCATTTTCTAGTGTTAACAAAAGGAAAGTTGAAGTTTAATTAAGGAGCAAAGTAAGACACTGGAATATACGCTTATGAGGGGAGAAACTTCCATTTGTTTTTCATGAGCCTAGAGCAGTTCCTGACACATAACAGACTCAGGAAACACGTACTGAACGAATTGTTCTTTCAGTGACCAATGTACCGCCGTCACAGTGATATCAACTTAGTGTCTCTGAAACCTGAACGTGTAGAGCTTTAGGTGACGAACAAGGGCTACAGCAACTGTTAACAAGGTTTATCAGCTTTTATATCCACTTTCCCTGTGACTACAAACTGGACAAACCCATAGCCCACAAAGGTTTGCTTTTAATAATTAATTAAAGAAGGTTTTCTAAGAAATTAAGATTTTGAGGGCCAAATCTTCAATTTATTTTTCCACATTTATTAACTTCTGTTCATCATTAGGAAATTGATTATTCTAAAGGATGCAGATTCATGTATCTTAAAACATTAGTAACTAAAACAATAAATGTCTAAAACTAAGTTAACAAACTGAGAGCTGTGCGTCTAGACCCAAACAGGTAGCAGTGACACGGGGCCTTGGAAACATGTACTGACTATTCTCAGACAGATACGGGCACAACAGGCGTGAGCTACAGTTGTGAATTGTATCATATGACCGAGTACTGTTTAGAGCACACTGACAGCCTTGTGTGGAGCTGTTTGTTTGTTTCTTTTTAAACACATTGATTGCCAACAATTTAAAAGTGGCCCCGTTGACACAGTGGTGATGGTTTCGCTCTAATCGTTTACCTGAGACAAAGTCACAGGCTCTATGTCAAATCCTTCTGGAAACAAGGTGGGCAATCAAAAAACAAGCTGAACTTTAAATTCCAAAGAACTTACCAGGGTTGCTGTCGTTGGTACTCAGCGTAGTATCTGTATCATTAATATGATGAATAAAATCTGAAAATTAAGGAAAAATACGGTTCAATACTGAACGAGAGACGCTAAATTGATCTGCTGGTCTGTGATCCGTGACAATCTGTAAGATCTTTGGGTGGTGACATTAGTGAACCTGCTGCCCCCAGACCAGCTCTGCTCACACGGCTGCTCCGTCTTTAGCCTGCTCTGCTCACAGGAGTGAGGTTGCTGGCATCACAGTCCCACTGTGGAAAATCCTTACGTGACCGAAGGCTTTAAAAAATCTACCCACAGGCTGAATGTAGCTAAAAGCCCTGGAATAAAGATAAGGTTTGCAATTTTCCCTGTACTCTCACAGATTTATAGAAGTATAATTACATCTTATGTAAAGGTCAAAAGTCTGCCAAAGGGGAAACCCAACAGGGACAAGGGCAGAATTTAACTGGAAAATCATCTGAAGTTTTTACAGAGAGCAGCTTGTGCTTTTACAGACCAAGGGCTACGTAGTAACCAGCCCTCCCAGCAGCCTCAGCGATGCTCCAGGAGGCAGCAGGTGAAGGGCAGACACCTGGGCGTCCATCACTCCACAGGGAGTAACAACTGGCAGAGGGTGTGTTTCCCTGTGGGTCTGAGAGAGTTTGTTTTGTTCTGTTTGATGTTCACCTTTTACAGCCTCACTAAGCATTAATAAAAGTGTTTGATTAAAACTTAAAAGAGGTGGTAAAAAATGTTAGATTAGATTTTAAGGTCATAAAGTAAGTTAAACATATAAAAAATTCACCTCCATCGTCTACTCATCAAGCTAGAATGAAAGATGAGTGCTCTGGGTTTCTTCAAGATCTCCAAGGGTCATTAGTGATTCGAGATTACAAATTATTCCTGATACGGAGACTTACATAAGGCTGACGAACAGTGAACTATTCATACCAAGTATACTGGGTTGCCTAGTGTCTCCCCAAACCCATCCACCGGGCACCTGCGACTGGGGCCTCATTAGGAATAGAGTCTGCAGATGTAATCGAGCCACATGAGGTCACGCTGGATGAGGGTAGGCCTGAAGTTCAGTGACTGGGCCCTTAGGGATAAGAGAAAATCTGGACATAGACACATGTGTCTGGAAAATCATTTCAAGTTTTTATAGAGTGTAGCACGTGATTTGGGGAAGCACTTGCTATGCTCTGGGAAGACGGTCATGTGGAGACAGAGGCAGGAGCTGGAGTGATACGGCTACACGCCACAGAAAGCCACGCACACCACAGAGTGCATGGCCTGCGACTGGTCACCATAGCCAGGAGGGGCAGGAAGGATCTGCCTAACGGCTTCTGGGGAGTGGAGCCCTGGAGACACTAACTCTGGACTTCTGGTCTCTAGGACTGTGAGGGAATAAGTTTGTGCTGTTTTAAGCTAAACAGAAGTCCTAATGCAACAGGCTCAACAAGCACAGTGCAAGGAAGAAAAACCACAGGCCAGCATCTCTTAGGAAAAGATGCAAAAGTTCTAAATAAAATTAGCCCTACTCCTCCCAAAAGTAAACTGAATCCAGTAAGAAATTAAAAAATATATACATCATGACTAATAAACAAAATTTAAATTTTCCCAGAATGTAAGTGATTTAAATATCACAAAATGTATTCATTTAATTCATCATATTAACAATTTGAAGGTGAAGAGCTTATGATCATTTTGAGACATGCAGATTAAATATTTTATAAAATCCAGCACACATTAATAAAAATGCTTAAGAAAACAGTAGACAGGAACATTTTAAAATTACTATAGGGTACAACAAATATCTCACAACAAATTCTGTAAATAATGTACTTACCACATAAGTTCCATTACTCTACTGTTTCCTAATTTAGATCTTAATACTTTGAAAATTAGTGGCTGAAATTTGTTTCCCTGAGACTACATATAAAATTCTTTAGTGCCCAGACGGGCGTGGCTCAGTGGTTGAGACTCAACCCAGGATCCAGGCGATCGGGGTTCGATTCCTGGTCAGGGCACATGCCCGGGTTGTGGGCTTGATCCCCAGTCAGGGGCCTGCAGAAGGCAGCCGATCAATGACTCTCTCATCATGTTTCTCTCTCTCTCCCTCTCCTTTCCTCTCTATGAAATCAATAAAGATATATTTTTTAAAAAAATTCTTTAGTAACAGACACCAATGAACTTCATGAACTGTTACACTGAAATTTATGGTAAAGATTGAAACAAAGCATGAAATATCTGCTGAAACTTAGAAATAGTTTATATTCATTAGAGAATTTGAAGGAATATTATTTATTCAAATATTAGTTTTTGGAGCCCTGGCTGGTGTGGCTCAGTTGGTTGGAGCGTCATCTCGTGCACTAAAAGGTCTTGGATTTGAATTCGGGTCAGGGCACATGCCTAGGTTGCAGGTTCAATCCCTGGTTGGTGTGCTTACAGGAGGCAACCAACCAACCCATGTTTCTCTCTCTCTCCCTCTCCCTTCCTGTCTCTCTCAAATCAATAAAAAATAAAAATTAAAAATAAATTAATTTGGAAATGAACATACACATTATAACTGAGATCATAACCATAGAAAACAAACCAAATCAAGTATTTTTTCAGAATTACAAATAGTACTTTTTACTGTATTTATTCCAAGTCCAGAATTTAAGGCTGAAACCAAAACATTACAGCAGTTATTGTACCTGAAAGCAGCTGTGTAAAAGCATATGATCTGGATACTTACTAAAAATAAACTTTCCAGTGTTAAAAAGAAAATTAGACATGAGCACCCAGTAAACGATCATTGCTCCAATGAGGGACACCAAGGAGAAGAGAAGGCTTGACCACTGCCCGAAAGAGCCAAAATAGTATCTGCAGACATCTGGATACTCCCAGGTAGTGGTGTCCACTGACGCTGCATAAAAACAAAAGGGAAAGCCTAAGGTTGGATGTTAATTATATATTCCATGTTCATAATTTGTTTTCCCAAACTAACTTAAAATATTTAGTAAAAGATTATGAGCATTACACCACTAGATATTAGACCAAATTATCAAATAACAGAGATGGAAACATTACAGAACAAACACACGAGAAGAAACGTAGGTCAACGAGAAAGATAACCTGGAAACAGGTGACAGTAGAGTAACATTTTGTAATTAACAAAAACGAGTGACAAACCGAAGCTGGACAACGTCATCCATAAAGAAACAATACACCAGCCAATAATACCTGGCTCACGTAAATAATAACACGGAAAACAGTCTTCTTGAGTCATACTTTATACCACACACGCCAACTTGAGTTTCAGACAACTGAGTTAAGAACTTAAAAACTAAGTTACAGAAAAGTTAGAAGACGTTGTAAAAACAGCATGAAGTTTACCCTTTCCTACCACCTGAAATACAACGGAAAAGACAGGCAGATAGGAACAACCTCGTGTACTACAAAGCCATTCGAACACTGAGTGGGGAAAACAACGAGAAATAATGATAACAAGCTAACGGCTACCTCGTGTGAAGAACTGGAGGATCCCTGAGAGCACCAAGGGACTTGTGGAGAAAAGGGCAACGGATATGAACAAATAATGCAAGTAAGAGAAAATTTACCGCTGCTTAGTAGAGACAGAAAAAAGCTGGACAAAGCCTGGCCTGTTGATTCATAGCTGCTAAGATTCGATGAGATGACGTGTCTATTTTGGTCCTGAATTGCTTTAAAACAATCCAAGAAGGCATTTCCCTGGTCCAGGGTGCACAGAGATCGGGGGAGGAAATGTGTTGGTACAATTTTTAGAATTCACTACAAAGGACATATGGCTCACGTTTTCATACTTTTCCAGTTATAATTTCTACTTTTAGGAGAGTCCAACATTTAGGTCTTTCGGTTGGGATAGGTCAGAACAAGGCACCGTTAACTGGCTCAGTGGCTGAGCGTCAACTCATGACGCTCAGGGGGTCATGGTTCGATTCCTGGTCAGGGCACATGCCCGGGTTTCAGGATAGATCCCCAGGAGGGGGTGTGTGCAGGAGGCAGCCGATCAATGACTCTGTTTCATCATTGATGCTTCTATCTCTCTCCCTCTCCCTTCTGAAATCAATTTTAAAAAACATATTAAAAAAGAACCATAGACTTCTCAATTTAGCTCTTACAAATACAAAGACCTTATTTTAAAAATATGACTTTTAAAATTATTTCTTAGAAGGAAATTAACTCCAAAGTGAGCGTATTCTGCAAAGAACTCCCCGTCTCTCTGAATTTCAAGGGTAGCCCCATCTGTTCAGCCTGATGCTAGGAAATAGAGAAATCAGAGAGTAAATCAGGCACAAAACAGAGAGTTAACATGCTCGTGGAACGTACACACTAGTGATCTCCTTCAACAGGAAACACTTATTAATACCAATCTGTTCTCACTGGGGCTAATTCTTACATATCATGGCTCGGGACTTCACTACTCTGTAGCAGCAGTAAAGTGTTAAAAGGCCCATCAGCATGATGACACATATTCCAGTAGTGAATCCGGCCTGCGTGAAAATAAAAATACAGAAGAACACACACCATCACGTTAGAAGGAATACCTACGCTGCCATATTACTCTACCCTAAATAATTATGATAAAGACCTGACAAACAATTATGATAAAAATCATTCTATTTCATGTAAAATTAAATATAATCATCTATTTTCTTTAAAAAATTGATGTAGATTTATTAAAACCTCTATTGTAAAACTTAAAACATAAAAAGAAAAAAAAATCAGGCTAAAATTACGCTGGAAAATGTATTACCTGCTTTATGCCCCAAGGAATACTTAGTATAGATGTTCCCATCATGGTATTCCAAATCATAAAACTGAAAACACAGAGCAACAGCAGTAAAAATGTGAAGCTTCACTCCTCACACAGTTTAATCAAGACAGAAGCCACCGTAATTTTCATTTACGTCACACTGCGGCCGCAGCCTCACTCACATGGTCACCACGCTGCTGTTCTTCCCGTGCCCTTCGCAGCAGCTCTGGAGCCTGTAGGCGGAGCCCAGCGGGCTGTACACGTAGCGCTCTTCCGGCGCTGGGACCACGTGGTCGGGGGCAACCTGGCGAGACAGACAGACCTCAGGGCCAGCAAGTGCGCAAAACAGGGCACGTTTCCACGTATCATGAACAAGTAACAGGATTTATCCCCGATCAGCAATCACAAAATTCTCTTTTAAGTGTAGTGAACACCCCCAGGAGCAAGAATTTAAGGACTATTCACAATAAAGAGTTCACCTGAAAGGAGCCTGAGTTCCTAGAACACGCAGCTACCAAGACATTCCCCCTCGGCTTACGAGGGGGGGGGAGGAGACTGAGATTAGGAGACTACGTGCAGCAGCCTTGGCCTCAGCTGAGGGGAATTTCAGGAATTAAGGGGTCACTGAGCTCCTCCATGAGGGCTGGTCGGCAGAGGAGGTAGGAAACTGGACCTGCTAGGAATCGAGGAGTCACTAGAGGAAAGAGAACACTAAATACAAACTATTCGCATGTTTGGCAGCTGAAGAAAAAGTGAGCCGAAGTGGCTTAAGGAAAAGGGAAAGCGAGGACCCTGACGAGGGCGGGCGCAGGCCAAGGGAGCGGCCAGCAGAGGCAGAGGCGCAGGGAGGACTGGGCAGGCGTCCCTCTAAACGCACTCCCGCCCCGCCTCCCCGCAGGCCTCCCAATCCTGCCTCCTGTCTCGGGGGAAACAGTTCCCTGGTGGAATCCCGCCCATCTCCCCGAGGACAGTCACTGAAAACGCGGGGATTCTCAGGCAGCGATGCAGGTGGATAAACACAGCCACTGAACACGGCCGTGTCATGCTGCTGATTGTAGATCACGGCTGATTCGCTCTGGTACACCACAGCCGTCTCGCAGTCCGTTAACAAGGGCTCCAACCTGGCGCCAAGGCTGACTCAGTTTCCAGGAACCTACACACCTCAGGCCGAGACTGGCCCAGCCGGTCCCGCTGACATTTGCTTCCTAAGCAGAGACCGCAGGTGGTCTGACTAGATCTGGAGATGCTGGGACACTTCTAGCTCCCCACGGGGCATACATAACCCTGGCATGAAACTAAGACTTTATCACAACCACTAGGGCAAAGGCCTCGCGGAGGAAAGAGTGAAGCTGGGGATCATCCCTTCCAGAATACTCGAAGTCCCTACCTCGGCTACACGAAAGGAGATCCCAGCACTCCCCAAAGCTTAAAGTGAGATCTGCCTTTGAGTGACCAGCCCTGTCCCTGCCCCGCAGCAAATCTAAACAATGCTGGCTCCCTCCCCTTTAAAAAAAAATGTTTTCATTGATTTCAGAGAGGAAGGGCGAGGGGAGAGAGAAACATCAGTGATGAGAGAGTCGTTGATCGGCTGCCCCCTGCACGCCCCCAACCCGGGATCGAGCCCACAACCCTGCATGTGCCCTGACCGGGAATCGAACCGCAATCTCCCGGATCCTGGGTCGATGCTCAACCGCTGAGCCACGCCAGCCAGCCCCCTCCCTTTTTATTATTACCTACGACTGAATCATTACCTTTTCTCCCAGAATGTTTCCATTTTTCTTTAAGCTTTGAAGTTTCTGAAAATCTCATAACCAAATTACTTATAGAATTTTTTTATCCTAAAATAATAATGCAGATTTCAGAAGATGAACAGTCAACAATCTATGGACCCTGGGCCAAATCTGATCTTCACCCTAACTCTTCTTCACAGCCCCCTTGCTAAGAATCACTTTTGTTTGTAATCATAAAGCAGAGCAAAGAGAACACGTGGCAGCATGCGGCCCGTGGAGCCTGGACTGTTTGGCATCTGCTCTCTGGCCCTGGTTTCTGACCTATGAAAGGACATTGCTAAATAGGAAAGTATTGCATATACGTCCGTACATACTTCAGTTTCCCACTCCTGTAGAAAATTCACACAAACATTTTTCCCTTGCAGCTTCCCACTTAAAAATTAAACAGACTGCCCTGGCCGGTCTGGCTCAGTGGTTGGAGCTTCGGCCCACAGACCAAAGAGTCTCGGGCTTGATTCCCGGTCAAGGGCACAGGCCTCAGTTGCAGGCTCCGTGCCTGGTCGGGGCGCGTGTGGGAGGCCACCAATCAGTGTGTCTCTCTCACGTCGATGTTTCTCTCTCCCTCCCTCCCTCCACTCTCTCTTAAAAAAAAATCAGTGGAAAAAATACCCTCGGGTGAGGGTTAATTAAAAGAAATTAAACAGACTAACCAGAGCCTGTTCTTACTCCTCTACGGCCTACACTGCTTCAGAAGCAGCTTCCCCTCCTCCAAGCTCTGGGCTGGGGATGAGCGGAACTTAACCCAACAGACCCCTAGGCTGCTGTCAACACGGGCGATTGTTTAAATGCCAGGCTGCGTGAGAACGGACTCGCCTGGATGGAAGGCGTGTGCGGGTGCACGACTGTCTTTGACTTTCCATGATGCCATCCTTGGAACGTGACCAGCAGCAAGTTCAACCACCGGGAGCTGCCCCGGCGCGCCGGGTGCTGTTGTTCACTGTTCATGCAGCCCAACCTCAGACAATCAGCAACCCGCCAGCCTTACCAGCGCCCTGTCCGCACAAGCGCTGAGCCGGCTGTAGTAATGGATCCTCTTGTTCATGGCGGAGGCGCAGTCGCTGGCCCTCTGAGTGGCATCATTCACACTGACGATGTTCGTGGGCTCTATGTAGAAAGGCCTAGGGGAGGGAAAGGACACTTGACAAAGAACGTTCAGCCAGAGCGGCCAGGAGCCAGCCGCCGAGGAAAATGGCATCTTGTGCCCCATCAGAAAGGGGAAGCACCAGGGTGAGGCACTGGCGCTCACGTGGGGAAAGGAAACGACACAGGGAGGCATTATCCTAGCCACAGAACTGAGCTCCTGCTCATAGACCATTACTTTGAACACCCTGCTTTAAACTTAAGACATTTAGCCACAGAGGAGATAGGACAGAAGAGCCTCAGTTGGTTGTTAAAAAGAAATATAGCAGCTGTCAGTTTTCAACAACTCTTAAGACACAGCTCTGAATATTCTCACAGAAAGCCTCTGGCGCTAAATCAGAGAAATCAGAGACTAAAATGTTCCCGTGCTGAACAGCCTGGCCCCTCCTTCATGGGCTGCGGTGGCTCCCCGTGACAAACAGAATTCCTATCTCCTGGGTCACGCACTGGGGACTGGTGACCGCAGCCGCCTCCGGGGAGCTCATCCAGAGGAGCCCAAGCGGAACACGGCGGCACAGAGATCCCTCGTGTTTGCCGCCTCCGACTTTGCTTGGAATTCAGTGATATGCCCTATTCTCCTATCTCCGCATGTGCTGCCTTCTCGTAACTGTGTCCCCAAAACTGCAGACTCCGCGTTTCAGTCGTCATCTCGGTTGTTAACCCCTTTGGCGCCGTCCTGAAGCTCCCTCCGTCTGTGCTCTACGCAGCACCCGCAGCCCAACCAGAAAGACCAGGCAGGGAGGCAGGAAGGACGGCCCTCCTCGCCGATCCCAGGTCCCCGCGGTCACACACGATTCTGGACCCAACTCTAAGGAATTTGCTTTTCCAGGTTATACACAGACCCAAACAAGGCGGGGGAAGGCCAGGGGTTTTACCCTTTGTTCCGTATTAAGTCTCCACACTTGTGGTTCTGAGAGATGCTTAACGTTTATTAAAGTATGTTAATCATTTCTGGAGACACCGTTAATCTAATCTTGTGGGAAGCACTTGAAAAACCAAGTGCTTCCCACAAGATTAGAAACTTTGGTTTCTGCCATTTTTCAACCCTGTGATATTAGGGGAATTTGAATTATAGATGTCAAATGGAGTCTTGTCTCTAGTTGGCCTACAGAATCTGTGAATCTCTCTTACTATTTAGTCTCCACCACAGCACTTAAATACGGTGGGTACTCTCTAGTTTAACCGGACACGTGCCTAAGTGGAGCCCTCACTGGGGCAACCGTGTGGATGCCGAGGCCGACCTGGCACACCACCTGGGCAGAGACCTGCTAAATGAAGTCCGTGGCGTCCGTCACTCTCAAGTGGATGGGGTCAGAATGGACGGGTCGGAAGCAGGATAAACTGTCCCTGCCTGGAGACAGCTGCCAGCCCCGAGAGTTGTGCTGCTCTGATGACTTACGTCTCCACAGTGGACACTCGGTATTGAAAAGCAAGGTAGAAACATTTATGTCCAGGAGACAGTGTAGTCAGACCTGGGGGGTCACACTCCATAGGGCGCCCTTCTTGTTTTGCAACGATGATTCCCTCCAAAGTTCAGGGAGGAAGTACAGCCCGTTTTTATTGTTGTTAATTCTCACCTGGGGATATTTTTTCCATTGAATTTTTTTAGAGAGAGTGGAAGTGGGGGGAGAGAAAGAGCGAGAGGGACATCGATGTGAGAGAGACACATCGACTGGTTGCCTCCCACATGCGCCCCCCTGGGGATTGAACCTGCAACCCAGGTACTCACCCTTGACCAGGAATTGAACTTGCGACCCTTAGGTGTTGGGGCCAGGCTCTAGCCACGGAGCAGCACTGACCAGAGCTCAAGAAGGAATTACAGCTTTAATGCCGACTAGGGCAGGGACTGAAACTAACTGGCTCACTAACAGGACTGACAAGCACGGCACTGGAGAGAGAGACGGGTGTTCTGCATGGAGCCTGTTACTCCGAAATGCAGTGGTGTTAACGTGGGCCACGCGCTGGCCTGCAGGCCGGCTGATAGGCGCCTGGGAGGCACTACCTTCGCGGCCGCGCCGGCTCGCACAGAAGTGTGAACTGTGCAGGCTCAGCTGGCCCGGGGATCAGAGCTCAGAACGACTCTGAAAGTTTTTCTTTTCCAACAGTTTTCATCGAGATGCCGTGTGCCTGTTCAAACAAATATTTGGGAATCTTTTCAAAACAGATTTTCTTTAAAAATATACAACTCAGCATATTTTAGCTGAATTATTAGAAACAGATGCTTAACGCTTCATCGGAGAGAGCAAATATATAACTTGTATTTCTAAACTGAACTTTCGCTGGATCTGAAAACACTTTTAAAATTAATAGTATTATATGAAGAACGCTATTCAGAATAAAGGGCTTTTGGAATGTGGGCTTTTTCTTTTGATGTGTCACATAATTGCTCCTTCTCAATGTTGCCTCCCACTTGAAATGCCTCAGCTGCCCCACACTGAAAATAAATTACGAAATTTCATGTAGAAGATATATTTGTCTCACATAATAAATATTTATGGTCATGCTACAGAAAAAATGCTTTTAACATTCAGCAAGATTTAAAAAAATATTTAAAATGTGACTCAAAATCCCATATTTTCATTTAACAAACTTATAAACAAAGAAACCTTATTTCTACCCAACACCTTTTCTAGGTTCCACTGCTTAAATTCCTTAAAAATTTTTGGCTTTTACATCTGTCTCCACCCTTCTGCTGGCCAGTTCTGCTCGTCTGAAGCTTAACAACAACCCATGACTCTCATACCCAACCTGAAGGCCCTGGGCTAAAATCGCTCTTTCGCATTCCTGGGGGCAGAAGCACTCAAGCACCTGCTAGACTGGGGCAGTTTGTTAAAAAAGAAGAGAGAGAGAGAGAGAGAGAGAGAGAGAGAGGGAGAGAGAGAGAAGGGAATCAATAATCAAAAAATATGAGGCAAATAAACATTCAGAATAACAGACCCACTGTGCTGGGCTCCACCTGCCTGGGGAACCCCGCACGTCTCTGCCAGGCTGCGCCCAGTGCTGAGGGCAGAAAGGAGGCCAACCGGCCAGTTCCAGAATCTCCCTGCTGCAGGAACATCACCAGTGCCCTCGGGCGGCTGCCCTGGTTCCCGCCTCCCCTGATGCCCACACAACGTCCTTGCTCAAAGCTCTGCTCCGCACCCCAACTTCACCCACTCTTTCTATTACGGTTCATTAACTTAAATTGGTTCTCAAATCTATCTACTTTTCTGTAGGTTTGAAATGTTAAAAACAAGCACTTGGAGGAGAAGTGACAGAGAGCAAAGTCCCATAGCCGACGAAAGGGGAAGCAGCAGCTTTCAAGAAATCAGTTCAGGGTGGCGCCATGCACCCATTAGAGGCTGTTCAGGGAGAGGAGGGTGGTTGTGTGAACGAGAGGGGACCCATCAGGGAGGACCCATCAGGGAGGCCCTGGTGGCTGGGCTGTGAGCCTGTGAGTGGAGTGGGAAGGGCAAAGCCCGTCTGAACTGGGTTCTGGAGAGCAAGTCAGATATGGTGAGTGTGCTGATCCCTGAGAGCAGTGCTCTGTAAAAATGAACGAGGGAAATGGAGTGGAAGCTGAAGGGGGAGGTCGTCCTGAGCACCAAGAGCTCGCCAGTTCCATTCCCGGTCAGGGCACATGCCTGGGTTGTGGGCTCAGTCCCCAGTAGAGGGTGCGCAGGAGGCAGCCGATGGATGTTTCTCTCTCTCTCCCCTCTCCCTTCATCTCTCTCTAAAAAAATTAATAAAAACATCAAAAAAATAAAGTGCAAATGCTCATGAAATAAAATAATAGAAATTACTACAGAAACACAACTTGGATGACAGTATCAACGCTGAAACGAAACTCACAGAATAATTATGCAGTGTGATTCCATGTAAAATAGGTGCAAAAACAGGTAAAGGGAATTCCGTATTTAGGGACACATGGACATGAACTACTTGGAGAAGTAAGGAAATGATCACACCAGTGTCAGGGGAGTGGTTACCTGCAGGAGGGAGGGGGGGTGCCTGGGGAAGCACATCAGGGCACTTCTGGGGGGTGGGCTGGATGGGTGTTGGCTTTATAATTATTTAAAAACTGTACGTATGTAATGTGCACACTTCTGTACATATGATATATCATGCAGTAAACTTAAAAAACATTAACAATATGTTTTTACATATTGTTAAATATTATTACATCTTATAATTAAAAAAATTTTTTTTTAATGCTTCATAATGTACATAAGTGCAGAAGCACATGGACTAATGTGCAAATGCACACGCACACATAGCTATAGGCAGTCCCAACTGTTCAATTTATTATTTTTTAACTGATAAGGGTGGTATAATGAGAAAGTGAATGTTGATAAACACTTGATTTAAGATGATCGGCTCCTTAGCTTCAAATGCTAGGCTGTTGCTTAGTTGCAAGTAAACATCTTCATCAACAACATACGGACAAAGAACTTGACCTGAATATTCATTCTCAGGCCAATATATCTTAATTAAATACAGATTTTTGCTAAGAATGAATTTCAAATTCTTTTAATATAATCCACGCTTTCAATTTTTGGTTTTAAAAAAATCTATAAATTGTTTTAATTCTACTTTCATAAAAACAATCTCTTCTCTTATGGCTACAAAACGATCAGCAGGAGAAATGCAAGGGGATTGGTTTGGTTTTGTTCTTACTGTCGGCACTAGAACGAAGCTAAAAGAATTGTGTAAACACCAGGTTCAGATACAGAAGCACCTGTAGGTAAACAGCAACACAGCAGTCCTCCAGTTTCCCCCCGGGTGATGCGAAACAGCGACCCAGCGCTGCTGGATGACTACCATCCAGCTAGAAGCAGCTCCCGACAGGACTGATGGACCTGCTGAGTGACACTCAACAAAGAACAGGAGGAATGTGGGAAAATCCCCAGAGGGCACAGTTCTCCAAGCAGCTCCTCCTTTTAGCCACTTTACGAGAATGCCAAAATAAATTACAAACTGTCTCAATTAACTTAAATAT